TCCAGCAAGGCGGGCGTGTTTGATGCAAACCTCTGAGTCTGTCAGGGCCGGTAAAACTGCCAACTTTGAACTCATTTCCTTTGAAGTAATGATGTGGGTACAAAAGTAACAAGCCTCAGGATCAGGTATCCCAGCATAGGAAGTTTAACAGGCTCAGGGGTTTTCCCTTGATTCAGCTTGTCTTGTATACATTGCGGAATCAGAGAACTATAAAGAAAACATTACCCCCATCACCCTGCCACTCAGATCTGAATACTGCCAAGGTTTTCAGAAAAGTGTATCTGTCTCTTTTCCTCAGCATGTCTATTTTTAAATGGGTTCCTGTTCTATAAATTGCGTGCTTTTTTCCCTGTTCATTTATCCTAAATATTTTGATAGTGATAGCCCGATTTTGGTGACTAGTATACATTAAAACTAAGCTTGAGAGCGTAAATTCCATAAATAGCACACATGAGATTTGTTTACCTAGCAAGGATTATGTATCTGGCCCCTCCCGGCTCAGAACCTGTTGGCTGAGGACAGTCTAGTCGGAAGTGGCCCTGGGAAGCAGAGCCAGCTGGCTCCTGGCCGGAGAGATCCCAAGGAGTCTGACCTTTAGCAGGATAAAATGAATGGGAGGTAGAGGAGGAAAAGGGAATGGAAGGGGCGGATTGAATCATTTCAACAATAGACTCGAGACTCCTGGGCTTTAGATCACTGCTGTTGGACTAAAGCCTCTAAAGTATGGGGATGACTTGGAAAGGGTGTGACCCCACACCCAGATAGATAATGCAGCATTGGGGTCACCAGCGCAGGCAAGGGCTCCCCCTCCTACCTACTAGCAGTTTGACCCCGGTAACCTCCTGGGCCTCAGTTTCCTCACCCATATAAGGGAAACAAAATTGGCATGTGCCTCCTGAGCTTGCCCCGAAGTTTAACTGAGATGATCTCTGTCAAGTCCCCTAACAGTGCTGACATTTGGTAAATAAACCAGTGTTTATTGGTTGCAGTTACTGCTGGTGCCACTATCATCTTACTGTATCACATGCCAGGATGCAACTTTTAAAGCATCACTTTAAGGGAGGAAATTGTGTTAGCTAGAGTTCAGTATTAGAATTTTGAGCCATCTAGGCTCGGCGCCTGTGGCTCAAGCGGCTAAGGTGGCAGGTTCGAATCCAGCCTGGGCCACCAAACAACAATGACGGCTGCAACCAAAAAGTAGCCAGGTATTGTGGC